TGGCAGTCCATGGTATATTCAATATTCTTTGCCAACACCACAGTTCAAAGGCATCAATTCTTCTTTGGTCTTCCTTATTCACTGTCCAGCTTTCACATGCATATGAGGCGATTGAAAACACCATGGCTTGAGTCAGGTGCACCTTAGTCCTCAAGGTGACATCTTTGCTTTTCAACACTTTAAAGAGGTCTTTTACAGCTGATTTGCCCAATGCAACGCGTCTTCTGATTTCTTGACTCCATCCACATCATTAAGGTCGACACTACTTTGAGGAGGCAGCTCTTCCCCTTCCCCAGTCGTCTTTTGAGTGCCTTCCAACCTGGGGGACTCATCTTCCAGCACCATGTCAGACAATGTTCCACTGCTATTCATAAGGTTTTCACTGGCTAATTCTTTTCAGAAGTAGACTGTCGGTCCTTCTTCCTAGTCTGTCTTAGTCTGTAAGCTCAGCTGAAACCTGTCCGCCATGGGTGACCTGCTGGTATCTGAATACCAGTGGCATAGCTTCCAGTATCACAGCAACACCCAAGCCCCCAAAGTATGAGGCACTGACAGACGTGTGGGGGACAACCTCTCTACTCACCAAAATAAAAGAATGTTGTTATTAGATGCTGTCCGGTGGATTTTCGGCTCACAATGACCCCATGCAACAGAGTAGAACTGCTTCATAGTGTATTCTAGGCTGTAATCTTTATGGGAGCAGATGACTTTTCTACTGAGGAGCCCTGAGTGGGCTGAATCACCAACCTTTTGGTTAACAGCCAAGCACTTAACCCTTGCACCACCAGGGATCCTAAAATAAAAATAAAACCCTACAAACCAATTTCTCAGTTCTATTTTACAATTCCTAAAAAGTTTTGGGGGTATTTGCCTTTTTCTCTTGCCCTGAATCCTGCACCTGGGCTTCCTGCTGAGTCAGAAGGAACAAAGCTCAATTCTGCCAAAGGAACAGTCTTTCTTTCTATACACTTTACATAGTTTTGAAGCAAGGATGGCGAGACTTCGGCTCACTTACTTACATGTTATCAGGAAAGACCAATGGCAATAAAAGGACATTATGTTTGGTGAAGTAGAGGATCAGCGAAAACTAGAGAAACCCTCAGTGAGATAGACTGACAATAGCAACAACAAATGGATTCAAACAAACGCTCATGAAGATGGCACAGGACCCAGCAACGTTTCCTTCTGTTATATATAAGTTCGCCATGTGCAACATTTCATTGTGTTTCCTTGTGTTATACAAAAAGTCACCGAGTCAGAGTTGACTCAACGGCAACTAATGAAAACAACTGGGAGTGAAGAGGAGTACATGATCCTGAATAAGATCTAACAGCTAGGAATACCAGAGGGAAGAAAAAAAAAATTGACAGGAAGAGGAGGTGGAGGAAAAAGATGTTAGCAAGATAATTGTGGGTCTTTGAATAAAAACTAGAGAATGGAGTTGAGAATCTTTTCAGTTGGACAGCTAATGTTATTCAACTTAACATTTTAATCTTTATTTTTCTTTGCAAAACTTTTTTATTTCGAAGAGTGAATTTAAAAATAACTAGGAGTAATCCATGTAATTACAGTAATATGGAATACTACTTATAATAAATTTCAAATTACATTACATAAACAGCCTTAACTTTGAGAGCCAGATTCATTAATCAGAAACATTCAAGTAACAATTGTCAAATATATCAAATTTGTTTAGTTCAGTAAAATTATGGAAAGCTTTTCTAAAATTACATTCAGTAATTCAGGCATCTGATTTAATAAATCAAGATTTTTCATTAGCAATGTATATGAAAGTAGCTATGAATTATTTAAATTAAAATCAGGAGTTAGAGAGTGATAAATCTTGCAAGATAAATCTTGCAACAACTTATTTAAACAGCTTAAAATTTAATAGCATAACTTTCTCAGTCCCTGAAAATGTGTTATTATAAAGCATAGAGAGTAATTCCACTTGAGAATATGCTCAATTTTCATAACATACAAAGCTTTATGTAACATAACTGTTGGTATTAGAGTCCTTATATAACCCAGCTTCTTATTTTGTTTAAATGTCAAGTCTTTTAGAAGGATCAGACACGTACCTGTATATTATTTTTGTGGAAATATCCTCTAATAAATGTAGCTTTCTTAAGAAATTTAAAACAAATCAGTTGGTGAAAAGATGAAGTCCCGGCTATATATAAATTTCTAAATTTGTACTCTGACACTCTAAACAGATGCTACAGCCAAAAAAAAAAGCTTGCCCAAAGCCAAATACAGTATCTTATGACACTGGTTAAGTTTACAAACACAGTGAATTGTGCACAGTCATACAATTTGATGAGGATAGATCTAAAAAATTCAGTTTCCTTTGTGCACACACTCCATTCAACTCTGAGATAAGATCATTTATTTGAGGTAAAAAATGCAAAGTAAGAGGCCTTAATGCTCCCTTCCACTTCATAGCCTGTAGGAATGTATTCAACCTAGTCAGGATTCTCTAATAATCCCAAAACCAAAACCAAACCCATAGCTGTCAAGTCTATTTCGGCTCATAAGGACAGAGTACAACTGCCCCATAGGGTTTCCAAGGAGTACCTGGTGGATTCAAACTGCTGACCTTTTGGTTAGCAGCCGAACTCTTAACCACCACGCCACCAGGGTTTCCTCCCTAATAATATGCAATCAAAATCAAGATATGGTACATGATCTTAACATGGAGAGTTCAGCACAGTACTGAAAATGGAATGTCTTCAATTTTATCCAAATCTGAACTATTGAACTTACATGTACAACATTTAAGACGACTACTTTTGGTCTACCTCTGACTTCTACTTCTCCAGCAGAGCCAAAGATGGATATACTAATCCTATCTAGTGCTTCTCACATGCAGGACCAGTTCTGGCCCATTTCCTGAGCCAATCCTGGCCACTTCAAGGAAACATATTATGGCATCAGGTCCACCATTTGATGAAGTATATAAAAAAGTCATTTTCTCAAGTCCTCTCCATTCTCACCCCAGTATGCTACCTGAGTTGGCTCCCTCAGCATCATTAGATAACTGTCAGGAGCTTTCTCCCTAGTTCTGATCCAGGTAACTTGGTTGATAGTCCAATTCCTTCCTGAATCTAAGTTTTTGCCCCTGATACCAACCTCATAGCTGAAGGTGAAGTTGCTGGGTCTGCTTCATGCTAATTCTCCTTTCTAGGACTAGAAGCTTCCCATGTATCCAGATGTCAGTAACTGAAATACTGCTGTTCAAGGGAAGATTAGTTGACATTCAGGAATTACCAACTGAAGCCAAGGGCAGAATGGCAGATTAATTTTTTCCCATGTTGTTTAAAAACATTTGGAATTTGAATGCCTTTAACCAGAACTGCCCTTTCCCGGTCACTAGTGAAAGCAGCAGTCAAGAAATCACACAACGTATTGCATTGGGCAAATCTGCTGCAAAAGACCTCTTTAAAGTTTTAAAAAGCAAAGATGTCACTTTAATGACTAAAGTAGCTCTGACCCAAACCATAAACTTTTCAGTTGCCTCACATGCATATGAAAATTGGATAATGAAAAAGGAGGACACAAGAATTGATGCCTTTGAGTTGTAGTGTTAGCAAAAAATATTGAATATACTGTGGACTATCAAAAAAATGAACAAATCACTCTTAGAATAAATACAGTCAGAATGTTTCTCAGAAGCAAAGACAGCAAGACTTGGACTTGCTTACTTTGGAAACGTCATTAGGAAAGACCAATTGCGAGAAAAGAACATCATGGTTGGTAAAGTAGAAGGTCAGTGAAAAAAAGGGAAACCTCAATGAGATGGATTGACACAACAGCCACAATAATGGGCTCAACATACCAATAATCATGAAGATGGCACAGGACTGGGTAATATTTTCTTCTGTAATACATAAGGTAAGCATGAGTTAGAGCAAACTCAACAGCAACTAACAACAAAAGCAGCACTTAGGCAACAGTGTAACACACATTTATTGACTATCTACTACTGAGTACCAGACTTGGTTCTAGACGCTATGGTTACAGAAGTGGACAAACTAAACAGTGCTGAACTTAAAGAGATGTATTTTAGTAGAGATTCTACTATAGTAACAACTAATAACGCTAAATAACCAGGCATTGTTCTATGAACTTGAGGTATATTAAGTCATTTAACTTTTCAACAACTTCATAAGGTATTATTTTCTCCTTTACAGAAAAAGAAGTAGAGATTAAATAACTTGAGAGATTAAATAATTTACCCAACGTTAGTAAATGGAACATCAATGTTTACATCCTGATAGACAGGATCCAAAGCTCACACTATTTGCCAAGATTATTTCAGGTGTTAACCAAGATCCATC